TTCATCTTTCTCTTCTGGTTTTGGATTCTGTTTTCCAATAACATTGATTAAGCATTAAGGAAGATCACAGAAGAGGTTTAAACAATAATGATTGTTATTCACACACACTTCAAGTCAAAACAAGTCCTACGGAGCACAGCTACAAGTTTTGGAAGCCTGATATGCTACCCTTGTGAACTTGGATTACAGGAGTTAGTTCTCTTCAGTTCCACAGGGTTTCCTTACTGTATAAATCAAGATCCCAACAGGAAACAGATGGCATGCTCAAATTAGGAGAGTCTGGGAGGATTTATTTACAAAAGACTATTTACAGAGGTCTGGGTGTAGGAAAATCACAATGGGTATTGCAAGAATGTTGAGCGGGTAGTACATGAACGTCCTAGGTCCAAAAGGCTAGGTCCTGCCAAGAGGAAGGAGTAGTTAGAACCAAGAAGAGAGAGTCACATAGCAAAGTTTGCCTTGAAAGGATAAGTGCCCTTCCAAGGACAGCACAGCAGCCCTGTGGGATTTGGCACAGAGGCCACTCGTTTTCCTTCCCATATTCTCCAATCCAACAGGAAACACAAAGGCACAGCAGCCTCAATTGCCTCTGTCAACAGTGTTACCTTTGGACCTCTCATAATATATCAAGAGAAATAAATACCTTGAGGTCTCCTACAGGGGTTCCTCATGGCTGAGCCCAACCTGAGGGCAGAAGGCACAGGCACCAACAGATAAGGTTCATAAGTGAGTCAGCTTCCTGGGCCAAAGGTCAGGCTGGGTAAATGGAAGCTCAATCAGAAGACAACCAACATACATAATGAAGCGTCTCTGCCTATTCTTACTTCTCAACACACCAACATAATCACATTTATAATCGGAAAAGCCTTCACGAAGGAATTGTCTCTGGAAATCTGCATTTTTTAATGTCTTTCTACCATCACATACTTCAGAGATTAGGACTGCTGACAACCCACAAATGTTGGGTAGCAAATTGGAAAAGAAACTAATGTTTTAAAACTAGTTCCCGTGAATATCTTACCTTATTTAATCTTTGAATGACCCTATAAATCATAAATTATAATCCTTGTCCAAAGCCACACAGAAAATACAAGGTGAGTCAGTGAACCCAGGACTATTTGATTCTAAAGCTTATCAGCTTTTCTCTTCACACACTGTTTACTAATCTAGTGCACTTGAGCATTTTAACCCAAAATAGTTTAGCTATTTTCTTGGCAGAGGGCAGGGCAGGTAAGAGTCAACTAAAGATATTAAAGAGAAAGATAAGTTGCCCAGGATCTAATGTCTATTTGGCAAAATATTAAAGGGAGAATCCTGAAGGTGAAAGAAGTGAAATGGCTAGAAAAGGGTTGATGTCTAGGAAGAAAATGAAATAAAAAGAGAGATTGAACACAGTCTTTGCATTCTTCCCACTCCCCTATCCTGTTGAGCCAGCCCAGTTACTCTTCAGTGTTTATGGACTTAGTACTTGAGGTTTACAACCTCAGTCATGTCCACAATGTTGCAATGCCTCACCCCTAATAATAATTTCACCTGCCTTCCATCTGGCCTTCCTCCTACCTGCTGTCAGACAGCAGTGTGCAATGAGCAATTTAATTGAAGGCTCATGAATGATGACCCTGGAGGCCAATGACACTCCTGGTTGCACCTGTCTTTGTACACGTGTGCTGTGGCAGGACAATTAAATCACGCCTACTTAGATAGGAGTATGTTTCTCTCAGTTTACATCTTGATAGCAAGAAATGAGTCAATGGCTCAAGGCAGACATAATGACTTCATAGGAAATTATAAAGAGAATGTGCTATGAGACTCTGGGGATCAGTTTGCATAGAGAACAAATAACATGGAGACCAAATGTGAGCAAGTCCTTGCTTTAGAGTCTGCAAGCATTCGTAAAACAAACAAAAACAAAATCCACACACCAATCATTTGTCCCAAAATGGCCAACCAGAAGTGACTAGTAGGAAAGATAATGGAGCTTTTTTTAAAGATGGACTCAAATACCGTACCACAGCTAGAAAGCTCTAAAAACAGAGCACAAAGAAATAACTTCCAGGGCTGGGAAGGCACTCCCAGCGCCAATAGGGAATCACCAGAAGTACTTTTATTTTTGACTCAAATTCTGCAGTTGTCACAAGGCCAAACATTCTCCCGGCTTCTTCAGTCTCCACAGTGGATTTGTGAATGTTCAGCTAGCATTCCTGACTGAGCTGTGAAATCATTTCAGACAGCTAACTGGGGAAAGAGCTTAAAAGAGGATGGTATTTATTCTTTATCAATTGCAAATTGCTGACCCATAGCCAACTTGAACTTTGGATATACACAGAAGCTCTTTTAAGCTATTTATATTTTCTTTACCATCCATGGGATGATTTAATTCAGAAATAGCAAATAAAAGATATTCATGGAGTATTTTTTGATCAAATATCTATAGTAGCTAGACCTCTTTGCTCAAATGATTCAGAAATTGAAGTTTATAAATTGTTTGGAAATTAAGGGACATGTTAAAAATACTGTGCCTCCCCAAAATTCATATAAAATCATAAATATTAACATTACACAATATTAATATTATGATCAATAGGTAGACATACAAGAGTTCATGTGTCTTGCTGAAGTGGCCCCAATCTGAGTCAGGAATACAGGACTTGAGCCACATATGTACCACAAATTACCTAGACAGTTCTAGTAATGTGATTTAAATGACCATGCCTCTGATTCCCTCTCGATAAAATGAAAAAGTCAAAATAACACATAGTTTTCTAATCATGATCTGAAGAACCATATAGCAATTTGAAGGGGTGATTCAAGTGGCTATTATTGGAGGTGGTAAGTGGGCCTCCGTTCATACCACCACCACCACCATAATCATCACCAAAACAGCTCTAGGTTTTCAGACTTTTGTGTAAGGCTTTGATTGGAGACCTCTTTTGAACTATTGTTTTGGTGGTTGTGGGGTTTGAATTCAGAGCCTCACACTTGCTAGGCAGGCTCTCTACCACTTGAGCTACTCTACCAGCCCTCAAACTGTTAAGAAGTATGGACTATGATATATCTTTGATCAAATTCTATAAGTCTGAAGTTTTATTTCCATTGACATATGAATGTGTCTCTTTGGAAAGCAAATACATTTCCTCTGACATAGTAAGTATTTTTTTAAAAATAGTGTGCCCAACAAGATATATGTGTAGGACAACAATTATCTCATTCAGTTCTAAAAATGGACAAACTCCTGTGTTTGGCTAGATTTCCATAGTCTTCCTTGTCATAATGCTTTACTACTTATGTGTGGGCTTTCAAACTTGAGTAGGAACTAATTGGTAACTGGCAGAATGACATCCCTTATTGAAATAATGGATTATGTACTTGGTTCTTCAAATCACATGCATGCACAAATACACACCCCTCTCCTCTCTAATTGTCTCGTTAGAAGCAAGCACAAGGCCCTGAGTTCAAACCCCAGTACTTAAAAAAAAAAGTTAATTAAATAAATAAATAAAACGTGTCTCCATATGGACAACCAAACTCCATCAATGATCAGGAAAAACAAAGCAAGGGAGTGGAAATAGAGCACAAACTGGAAAGAAGGGTGACTATTCTGGCTCATCCCTCTTAGTTTGGAACACAAATGTAGGAATCTGGACCTCACTAAGCTCATGTGACATAATTGTCAGGTGTGCTGTAATTTTGATGGACTGGAGCCTGTCCTTAACATCCCATGCATCAAAGGGAAAATATAATCATGTGTGTGTGTGTGTGTGTGTGTGTGTGTGTGTGTGTGCATGTGCTGCAGCCAAGATGGAAGGGGGAGAGCCATTGGTTATCTACAACATAAAAATCTATGTTAAAATCCAAATGGATCTTTTTAGTCCTCTCAGAGCACTGTATGATTTCACTTGATATCTTAATGCTTCACTTGTATTTTAATCATTTCATTACATTTGGTTGGATAACAGAAAATGCCCCAATGTCACAGAGAACTAAAGAAAAATGAATTTTTAACTACTTTGTAGGATGTTAGTCCAATAATAATTCTATCTCCAGTGAGTATCTACTATTTTGGTAAGATAAATATATATTATATTGCTTAAACTTTTTCATAGCAATTTAAATATTTCATAAAATTCCTAGCAATATGTGGCTGACAAAATAATTCCAGTTTTTCATAAAATTTGAAGTCTTCTGCCACTTGCTTTAAAACCTACTTTAAGATAAGAAAAAATCTGGTTTCAGTCAAGGTCTGACTGGCCCCTACATTTAAGTAAATAGATGAGTTTCCACACCCTCTCAAAAAAAAGCCATTTGAGAGAAATTTCGCCCTTGGATTTGGATTTCATAAGCCTTTGTTTTTGGCTTCTAATCAGTCCTATAAGTAAAAACGAGGTCACATTTGCCCTATTTCCCAACTGGCACATACACAAAGGACCAGTCATGGTTTTTGCAAAGAAAATAAACCGTAGTAGGTTTTGCCAATTCACACAATTTGTCTGAAAGGAAATGTCATTATTCCCACTGTTATAGCAACAGAGTCTTTGGGGAAAAGCCATCAATCACTTTGACGTAAGAAAGGTAACAGGAAGTTGACTGGCAACAGCATGATCTATGCCATGAATGGAGATAGCTTAATATTTTCTTTGTGCATGTTTTCTTAGCCAATGAAGCAGAAGCAACCTGGATTTTTATCTTCAAAACCACAGAAATGTTATTTCCCTCAAAATTTCCTTCACTCTAATATAGAAGAAATCAGATTTTTTTAATCATTTAACCATTCACAAAAATATTGGATACCTCAGAATCCAAACGCCACACTCCTTACAGCCCATCACTGTGATTTCACGGGAGGTTCTCTTACTGGTTTTGGTGGAAAAGTCTACTGAAATACTGCATTCTTCCTTGGATTAAATATTTTCTAGCATCTCAGTGTCTAAACTAGAATTTCTAACAGGACTATTTAAGGAATTACTCAAATCAGATCATAAAGAAATTTGGTAACATGTTACCTGTAGCATTTAAATAGTAGTTGATGGTCCTGCCAGTCGTTCTCTCTTTGGCTTACAGGTGTCCATCCTAAGAGCATGTGTGCCTTTAGTTACACACTTGTCATTGGCAGTGGTGACAGTAGTTCTTGGTCAACTGTGAAGTGGAACAACACTTATATTAATGATGAGCTCCTGTAGGTTCATTCTCTCTTTATGCTACATGTAGCTCCAGACGGGAAGTGTTCAGTAGGTGCCCTTTATCTTCCATGCCTGAGAGCAACTAAACCTAACCAAAAATAAAGAAATAAAAATGTAAGAATAGGTACAAACAAAATGTGAGACACTTTCCAAAAACCATATTGCAAGACTACATTTGTAGTTTCATGACACATTTTCCTAAAACAAGGGAGGGAAAAGCATTTCTTTGGCTGAGGCATGTGCTAAAACAACCTAACTCATTGAAATAATCCTTACACATCACACCACACACATGCACACACCACAACACACATACACACCACACACACACACACACACACACAACACACACAGCACACACATATACACACACACCATACCACACACACACACCACACACACATACATCCCACAACACACACAGCACATACACCACAACACACACACTACACACACACCACACACACACAAACACACACATATATACAACACACACAGCACACACACACATACGTACATACACACATACACACACCACACACACACACAACACACACCATACATACAAATCCTTTGAAGAATGCTAGCCTCCAAAGTTTGGGACAATATTAACAATAATAAAATATAATAATCAACTTTCATTTTAATGGCACAAATTGAGGAGCTGGGGTACAGCTCAGTGGTAGAATGCTTACTTAGCATGCAAGAGGCTCTGAGCTCAATCTCTACTGCCAAAAAAAGTCACAAAATTGTCACAAATTGAATCATGAAATAATTTCCTTGACAAAATGTCTGTCCATTTCCCTCAAATAATGGAGGAAGATGAGAATATTGCAAAAAAAAAAATTGAAACTGTGCCTAGGAACAGTTTGATTACAATGGGACAATCTATACATTCTGCCAAATAACTAATCAGCTTCTTTACAGGTTGTTTGCCCTGGTACATACACCACAGTCCCACATCTACCCATTAGTAAGTAGCCTTTTCCAGGTTAAAAAAATTGATTTTCTGTCTCAAGGTGGCTTACTCTCAAGAACACAGATTCACAATAACAAAGTTCACACAGGACTGATAAATAAACCAGGTTATTAACATACAGAGCATGTCAGCCCATGAAACTAGATACTTCGGTGAACTGATCAACGCACCCTCTCGTCTCTGGAAAAATACATTCAAAGCCAAATATCAGGCAGTGGCTAAATGAATAGGAAATATCATATGGGTGAAATCTTGACAGATTCAGCTTGACAGACACAAGTTTCAATCTGCACATTTGATGTTTCGGAGAAGTAGGTGGGAAACTTTCATAGCTAGACAAGGCTGTATCTCCCCTAAATGAAAAGTTCCTTTGATGAGCCTAGTATGGTGGCACATGAGTATGTTCCTACGATCCCAACTACATGGGAAACAGAGATGGCAAGACCACAATTCGAGTTTAGCCCTAGGAAAAAGTTATTAGTTAGACCCCATCTCAAAAACAAGCTGGGCGTGTGGGGTGTATGTAATCCCATTATGCAGAAGGTGTAGATACACAAAATCACAGTCTGAGGCTGGCCAAGCAAAAGCTACAAGATCTTGTCTGGAAAATAAACTAAAGCAAAAAGCACTGGCGGTGTAGTTCAGGTGGTAGAGCACTTGAGCACAAGGCCATGAGTTCAAAACCCAGCACTGAAAAAAAAAAAGTTCTTTGATGGAATTTGATGATTATTCTTTTTCTATAATTCCATGAACAGGCCCAGGTTTGGTTGGTACGACAGTTTATATAATTTGGAGAACTTCTTAAAAAATGAATACAAAATTTAGTATAAGAGTGATTATTAATTTAAGATGACAAAAGAAACCACAAACACAAATTTAGAAAACTGGTAAATATCAAAAGCATCACAATACCTATATGAACCATATATGAACTCTAATATTAACTGACTGTTTTTACTACATTTTTTCTTTCTTCACATGACTGCAATTGTGCAATATTTTCCACAGAGAACGGATAGATATTTGCCTTTTGTTTAGCACAGCACATCAAAAGTCTTTTATATAGAGGTCTAGAAAAGTTTATTTTCGCTTCTCAAATTGTTTTTGTAATGCCACATCTGGTCTTCCTCCTGGTGTTTTGCTCAGACTGTAGAGGACAAATGAGGCTGAGAGGGTCCATCAGAGAAGGCCAGCCCTTGATGTCATCAGCACGGCCCCTACTACTCCAGCAGCTCAGGCAAGTGCAGCCTCGTTTGTCCCACCTCCCTTTTCACCTCTGCCTCTGTGGTCCTGCAGGAAGGCAGTGGACAAGACCACCGTGAACCTGGGTCATAGCAGCCTCCAAGCTGTGGTTCAGCCTCTGGAACAGATCTTTTCTCAGGGATCAAGTTTATTCCCAGCAAGTTTCTAGGTCACCTGGGGCTGGTGGCTGCTGATGGCATTTCAAGTGTAGAAAGGGGGTGGGGGAGCCTGGCCCTTAGGCCCGACCTTCTAGGACTGACCTCACCCAATTTGAAGGGACCCCCTCACCTCAAATTTGGGGCAGAGGTTGCTGCCTCCTCCAATCATCCCAGAAAGCACTGAGGGGTTTGGAAGGGGCCCAGCCCATGGGGTCCTGAAACTTCATCAGAAAACCCAGCCCTATTCCACTTGAGGTGCCAACAGGTCTTAGGGAATCAATCCTCTTTCAAAAAGAGTTACCTGGGAGTCATACTAAACACACAGATTTCAGGGACTCCAGAATTTGGGTCAAAGCCAAGAATGTATTTTTAATAAGTGCCTCAGGTTATAGTTAATGCTTTCCCGCAATTTGGAAACAGGGCTTGAAGCAACAGAGCATCTCAACTTTGATGTGTTAAGTATAGGTTAAATACTTTAATCACAATTAGACAATCCTGTTCCCCTCCTTTCTAATTTTCTAAGGCATGAATACAAGAGGTAGTGTTTATGTGGAGTCCTGCGCACATTTGAGAAGTATGGTTAGTGTGGGTGCTACATGTACAAGATGTAGAAGTGTGCTGTGTGGAATGGTGAGTACATGCACCTGATACATTTGGGGTCTGTGTGTGAGAGAGAGAGAGGTGAGAATATGAGGGCATGTGTGAAGTAATGTGCATTTGTGTGGTACAAACAATGTCTGTGTGATTGTATGTGGGTATGTGTGGAGTGGTATGTGTACATGCATGTGACTCGTGCATGCATGGATAACATATGTGTACTTTATAGAATGGTGTGTGCATATGTTTATACCTAGGGTGCAAGTATGCAGAGGCTGTGTAAGTGATGTGGGGTGTGTGTTATGTGTGGGTGTGGTGTATATGGAAGTGTGTGGGATGTGTAGTGGTTGTTTGGAGACCTGAGGAGAAGAGAAAGAGCACCTCAGTTCACTTGCATGTACTGTCTACAGTGGGTATCTTAATCAACACTCTCATTTGTACTGGCTCTTTTCTGAGAGAAATAATAATGAGTTTAAACAAGACTTTCTTTAAAAAGCTGCTTTTAACTTAATAGGGCTTTCCCTCCTCATCTGCTTTTCTGCTTATTACTAGGTTTCTGTGGTTAGATGCTATTAATCCCATAATTAAGTTCAAAGAATAATATTGTTGATCAAAAGAAAACCATGCACTTTAAATAGAATAAAATTAGAATGCCACTGCTCGTAAACACCTGTTTTATTTTTGTGGCTATGCTTTGATCTGATGAAGTGCTGAGCTAGATTGAAACATTAAAAATAATAATGTGACAAGCAACTTTTATCTTTCACTACCCATGTTACAAGTATTTGTTTGTGGCATTTACAAAACTAACTAAGTGGTCAGTCCTGTGCCCATGAAAGATGAAAAGTAACAGCAACAAGTTCTAATTGCCTACGCAATCAGTGCCAGGTCCAGAAAACAAGCCTCACTCCAAAATTTCTGTTTAGTCTTATTCTCTGTTTTCTCTTACCCTGAGGACAAAAGTTGGTGGGCCTTGAAAGCAGAGACCTGTGTTGAATTGCAGCTTTACTACTCATTTGAGACTTTGTCACCTGCAAATTATGAACAATGATACTTACTTGATAACTGGAAGAAGTTCAAATGGAATAAGAATCCATAAAACACTATTTATAATAGTAAAAGTATAGTTCTGTTTTCTACTGCCCCCTTTTAGTACTCCCATGTTTTCAACACCATTTCACAAAATTCATGTCCTCAAAAAAATCTTTTAAAAATTTTTGCCATTTTTACACATTAATATAAGCATGTATAGTTTTATTTATACTTTTCTTTAAATAAATTTACAATTTTTTCTTTACTTACCTTATGCAATAATATTGGGAAATTTTGAATTTAAAATCTAGTGGTAGTTATCCCCCATGTCACAGGGTACAAGTACACAGCTCAGTAAGCATTAGCCCCAACTGAGTAGGTCCCTGGATATGTCCTGGAAAAGTATCCTGCTCCTTCTGCTAAGCTAACACCCTGTCCTCATGACCCAGGAATACATGCTGCTAAGTCTGTCACACATTTACCTTAGCTACCAAACATCTTTGAAGACCTAGAGTTGAGCCATTAAATAAATTCCAAGAAATTGTTGAAGCTTCTAGATAACTGTGCTTTCCAACTAACTGCACCTGGTTCTAACACACAGTGAGCATTATCTGAAGACGCCTGGGCCATGTGGCTTATCTGTGTGAAAACACACAGGCCTCCCTACAGCAAATACATAATCAAAGGCCCCTTCAGCTCCAGAATGACAAATATCAAGAAAGCTAATTGCATGTTAGTGGAAAGTACAATTAAAATGCATGAGTTTTGGGGGGTTTCTTATTATTATTGTTGTGCTAGGGAGTTTTCTTTTTAAAGTGTAAGCTGGAACTTGTTTTCTAGGTCTAAGGATGTTCATATATATCAATCTGCACATTCCCTGGAATATTAACCTGAGAGATAAATCTCATAATTTTAATGCATTATACAAATAACTCTTACTCTGTTGAGGTGACCAAGGCATTTTTTTTATATATATTTTTTTTAGATTAGTAACAATAAGATATGCTACCCAAGTTTAACACAGAAAGGAAAAGGGGGACAGAAAATGCATGGCTGTATCAGTGCACATGTTCACATTGGGTATTTGACATTCTTTGGGAGAACCAGAAACCATGGCACGGGTTCTGGTGAGTGGATTACAGGGAGAGCTTTAGTTAGAAGCCGATGTTAAGGAGTTATTGATGCTTTACAGAGGTGGTCACCTCTGCTGAAGTCTGCAAAATATGGGGATCCAAAATCTCCTTTGGAAAATAATGTCTCAAAATAAATGTATGACATCCTAATCTTTTCATAATTAGAATTTTTCATAAATAGAAAACCTAATTTCATATTTATACATTAATGGGATCTTCATTTTGCAAATAAAATCAAACCTAAGAACCATAAAAACTAGAATCCAGGAATTCTTTGGGACATACCCATGCTCTCTTCTTAATTTTTAAACTGTGACATTTTAATTGTGGAACAGAAATCAATTGTGGAGGGGATCCAAGATGGTGACTAAGGCGCAGAAGCAGACAGTGTGAGCTCCATAAATCAAAAGTATTGTTGAGACACTGGAGCCACACTTTGCAGAAATAAAAACACCAAGAAGAATCAAAACTTCAACACCCTGAACCCCTAGCCCATGGAAAACTTCTCCATGCATTACACTGAGAAAACAGGAGGGCTCCCATGCTGCCATACACCAGCTCCAAACCTGCTTGGGAGACATTCAGCAGACCAACAGGTGAGCACCAAGCATCAAGTGGATTTCCCCAGACACCCCTGGGATAAACCAGCATAGATCCTGGGCAGACTGATCCCCCTCCCTGCAAAAAAAAAAAAAACTGAACAATAAACAAGGAACTGAAAACTAACACACAGTAGAGGGGCAGAGTTGCTGTAAGCACACTGGAGAAGGCGGGGAAAGCAAGGAGCTGATCTCCACAACAACTTTCAGTAAATAAAGGCTGGAAAGACAGAAGGGCCAACAGCTGGCTGGTGATAAGCTACTACCTGAAATAGAGCAGGTAGCGGTCCACAAAGCTCATCTCCTGAGCCAGTGAGCAACATCCAAAGTCAAATGACACTACAAAATTGAAAACTAATCAGCAAACTGTCACAACACTCTGACAGCAGAGAGCCAGCTGACAGATCACTGACCTTGCCCCAGAGAAAGGGGACAAGGCATAGAAACAAGCCCCCAGTAATCAAGCACAGTGAAACCCAACTCCAAAGCAGGAGAGCTTGTGAGCTACAGAGCTGATTCCAGAACCTGAGGACAACATACAAACTCAAACTGACACACCTCACTGATGGAGGAGCTGACTAACCAGCTGCTGCTGAAAGACAGGGGAAAAAAACTGATGAGACTCCCCAACCACCTGGTAAGACTAAGACAGAGCCTCTGATTAAATACCAGGGCTGGATGCTGCAGGAGAACATCAGAACTACTAAGACTGAAATTCTATTGTTCATGAACCTAGAGTTTTTTTGTGTGTTTGTTTTGTTTCTTGTCTGTTTTGTTTGTTTGTTTATTTGTTTGTGTTTGTTTGTTCATCTCTCCCCATTGATTTCTTTGGAGTTTTGTTGTTGTTGTTTTGTTTTGTTTTGTTTTGTTTTGTTTTGTTTTGGTAGCTTTACTATTGTGAGTTAGTCAATACTAAATTACACCCAGACCAGGGACAGAAATAGCATACATACAATAAGCTAAAAATCCAATACAGCTACAAAACAAAATTAAACCAAGGAAAAGAAAACAGGTGACTGAAACCACCAATAGCCTATCAAGAACAAAGTTACACAGTACCAAGTGGAGTGATGGGAAGATGAAAAAGGGACGGAAATGATTCTCCCCCAAAAAATAATTTACTACAGGATTCAGAGGAAAATGAAGAAAATGGATACCCAGTTCCAGACTCCAACAAAACAAAGATAAATGATGCCAAGGAACCCAATGATGCCCACAAGAACAACCTCAAAGAAGAAATCCCGCAGGTAATCACTGAGAATTTCATGGAGATGTTACTAGATATGGTCAACCAAAACATACAAGAGGCACTCAAGAAATTCCAAGTCACCAAAAATAAAGAATATGAGAAGACACAGAAACAAACAAATGAACTTACAGCAGCCCTAAATAAATATCAAAGTGAAACAGAGAACACTATAGAGAGATAAATGAATTAAAGATGAAAATTGACGATATTAAAGAGGAAGTTACCCATGATATGGAAAACCTCAGAAAAAAGAATAAAACAGAAATACAAAACACAATGGAAGAGCACTCCAGAAGACTAGAACAAGCAGAAGACAGAATCTCAGAACTTGAAGATGAAACGGAAATTAGAGGAAAAACTGAAGAACTATTAGTCGAACAACTCAAGACTTGTGAAAGGAATATTCAAGAACTTACCAACTCTATCAGAAGACCAAACATGAGAATCATGGGCATTGAAGAAGAAGAGGTGCAAGCAAAAGGGATTCATGATATATTCAACAAAATAGTAACAGAAAATTTCCCAAATCTAGAGAAAGTTACCCCCATTCAGGTACAAGAAACCTCCAGGACACCACAGACTTGATCAAACTAGAACTACCCCACAACATATTAACATTAAAACAACAAGCACAGAGAATACAGAAAGAATACCGAAGACTGTAAGAGAGAAAAAACAAATGACATATAAAGGTAAACCCACCAAAATCATAGCAGATTTCTCAATGGAAATCTTAAAAGCAAGAAGGGCATGGACTGAGGTATTCTAGGCACTGAATGAAAATAACTTCAATCCTAGGATACTCTATCCAGCAAAACTATCATTCAAAATAGATGGAGCAATAAAAGTCTTCCACAATTAGCAGAAACTAAAACAATATATAACCACCAAGCCACCACTACAGAAGATTCTTCAAGGAATTCTGCACATAGAAAATGAAAGCAAACAAAATGATGAGAGGACAGGCAGTGCCAAACCAAAGGAGAAGAAAAGGCAAGAAAGTAGAGAGTAACATTGATTTAGCTACACACAATCAAATCCTTAAACAACAAAAACAACTAAATGACAGGAATCACCACAACCTATCAATATTAACACTGAATGTTAACAGATTTAACTCCCCCATCAAGAGACACTGTTCGGCAAACTGGATTAAAAAGGAAGATCCAACAATCTGTTGTTCACAGGAGACCCATCTCACTAACAGAAAAAAGCACTGACTTAGGGTGAAAGACTGGAAGAAAATTTACCAAGCCAATGGCCCCCAAACACAGGCAGGAGTAGCAATACTTATCTCGGACAAAGTAGACTTCAAACTTACATTGATAAAATGAGATAAAGAAGGACACTTCATACTAATAAAAGGTAAAATACACCAAAAGGAAATAACAATTATCAACCTATATGCACCCAACATCAGTGCATCCAATTTTATCAAACATACTTTGAAGGACTTAAAAGCACATATAGACTCCAACACAGTGGTAGTGGGAGACTTTAATACCCCCCTATCACCAATAGAAAGGTCATCCAAACAACAAATCAAAAAAGAAATTCTAGAACTAAATCACACCATAGATCAAATGGACCTAGCTGATGTCTACAGAATATTTCATCCAACTACTGCACAATATACATTCTTCTCAGCAACCCCTGGAACCTTCTCCAGAATTGATCATATCTTAGGGCACAAAACAAGCCTCAGCAAATATAAGAAATTAGAGATGATCCCATGCATTCTACCAGATCACAATGCATTAAAACTATAACTCAACAACAAAACCAACAGTAGAAAACATGCAAACAATTGGAAGCTGAACAACACATTGCTCAATGATCAATGGGTCACTGATGAAATTAAAAAAGAAGTTAAAATGTTCCTGGAAGTTAATGAAAATGAAAACATGACCTACCAGAACCTATGGGACACAGCAAAGGCAGTCCTAAGAGGAAAGTTTATAGCCATGAGTGCATATATTAAAAGGACAGAAAGATCTCAAATCAATGACCTATGCTAC